TCGCCTGCTAAAAAACGTATGTTATGTTTAAACATCCAATCGTTCTCCATCGCCTTGCCACACGTTCCTGACTCGGGAAAGGCTGAGGAAGTGAGAATCCCATGTCCCTGCCGCACGGTCGTGACTTGGGAAAGTTGAAATGATGATAATCCCATAACCCTGCCACACGCTCATGGCTTGCGAAAGCTGACATGGTGAGACCTCCATTGCCATGCTCAGCGTTTTCGATGATGTCGCTAGTCAACATAAGAAGATAGCAACTTCGAATCGCAACTTCCCCCCGCGATAATCAAGTTCGACCTCGCTGCCCCTCCACAATCAAATCTGTCTGACCCAGGGATAATAACCATTCAAGGATAAAGGGGGAAGCTCGGGGTTAATCTGGATGCACGCATGGGAGGCGCCGGCCAACAGCAGCCTTGCGGCATGGAGGGCGCGCTGGGCCCACCATGCCAGCCTCGGCGAGGCACCGCGCGACGCTGTCAACAACGCCGGCACCGCGCTTGCCATGCAGGCGGGGCACCCCCGACACCTGCAGGGGCCCCTCGCGGGGGCGGCGCTGGACAGGCAAACGCGTTTCGACCTCCCTGTCATGGACATCTGCCTCAACCTCGCGTTCCGCGCGGGTTCGTTCACCATGAACCGCCCGAGCAAGGAGGCCCTTCTTCGCCGCCAACCATTAGCATCGAATTCGCCTTGGATGGAGCCTGCTCGAACCCCCTGGTACGCACCAGCGGTCGCCCCCAAGGCATCTACTTCTCACTGGACGACGCCGATATCCTGAATTGACTCTGTGTTCAGACCAAAGACAGCGCAGGCATGTGCCGCGCCCTCCCAGGGCCACGTTCGTCGACGACGGCAACTCCGCCGCCCTCCGCGGAAAGGGGGTTGCAAGCATCGCTCGACGAAGCCAACCTTTTCGACCGCCTTTCTGGCGCGCCGGCAGCCCAAGGCGCGGGCCTGGACATGCCGGTTGCTGACGATCCCAGAGTTCGCCGAGCCGTGGCCAAACATCCCCGGCGCGCGTCGTTTCCCTGAAGGCACCCGCGCGCAAGCGCCTGCGCGCGTTCGGCGATGCCCTCGCCGGGCGCGCGAGCGGGCTGCCCGGGAAACTCCGACCTCCGAGGAGCAGCGGAGAGACCTTCCGCCGCGCGCGCGGCGTTGCGGCCGTTTCGAAGATCAGAGGCGCAACGCGATGTCCGCCTGGGCCCCCGCGTCGGAGGAGCGGAAATGCGATCGCAATGGCGCGCGCGGCCACGCGCGACCCGCCGCTGGTAATAGCGCGAATGCGCAGGCGTCGCGACGACGACGACGGCAACGGCGGCGACGACGAACGTCGCGGCGACGGCGGCGACAGGGCCCGGGCCCTCGGGCGATGTTGCGCCCCGCCATCGTTCTTGGAGTCCTGCGCCAGACTGATGGGTGAAACGAAATTTCTGCGCGCAGCTTTACCCCCCCAGCCGTCTCTCTGCTTTACTAAAGCTCTCTTTCTTAGTAAAGCGTAGTTTTCGGAATGCTCTGAGCGGCGCGCCTGTGCTGAAGCCGTTTTCTCGTTTCAGTAAAGGCGTATCCTCGCTTTATTGCGGCCGCTTCTTCGCTTTAGGAAAGCCGGTTCTTCGCATATAAGGCCGTTGTCAGCCTAAGTAATGCCCTGGGGTGCGGAGCCAGGGCCTGGTCGGGGGGTGGGGGGTCCTTGTCTCCGCTTCCATTCCACCCCGCGATGCATGTGCTCGAGTAGTCATGGTCGCGTTGCATCGGGTCGCGGCGATCTTTGGACATGTCTTCAGTGATTTGTAGATGCTCTTTGACAGGAGATTCAGGGCGCGAGCGCAGGGCCTGTCTCGGCAATTCGGACGCGCCGTCGCGGCTGTCGCGCAACAGAGCAACAGCGCTTTACTATAAGTCTCTTGTCCTTTAGCGAATCGGTCCTTCAAAGTAAGAGTGAAGAGTGTGAGTTTTCCGCTTCCAAGCAGAGGACGATCAACTCCTCGACCCGCAGGCAAACCTCGCCCATGCCAACCTGGCCCAGGACGAACTTCCGCAGCCAGCCCCCAGAGCGCAGCCAGCGGGCCAAGAGGGGGATCATTTCGAAGAGCGCGCCGGCCCCGCCACGGGGGCCAGTTGGGCGCGCGCGGCCACGGGCGGGGCGTTCTCACACACGGCCCGCCCTCTCAGTGCAAGTGAAGGTTTCGGCGCATATTCCGGGCCCGATGACGGGCTGGACCGCCCTGCCCAAGTCCAAGGCCTGGCGCAGCAAGGGCAGCGCTCCGGAACCCTCGCGCAGTTTCGCCTCGCCGTTGCGTTGGAGAGGCAAACCGACCTCTGGACAAAAATCCACCAGGTTGGCGCAGGCCAAACCTGGCGCGTTCAAGACCCAGAGTCGAAAACCATGTCGGAGAGCTAGGGATCAACGAACGCTGCATCTCGCCAATCGACGGGGCCTCCAACCGCCACGTTGACGAAGTGGCAACTGCGGGAGCTCGCATTCACCCTCGGCCACAGGACGTCATCGACGCGGCCAGGCACCGACGCGAGTTCGCAGCCGTCCTGCGCATCGCGGCGTCGCGACTCACGACCGTTGCCATCGCGCGCCCTCCGGCCCCTGGCAGTCTTGTGGGATGCCCCAGGTCGGATATCCGCCGGGTCAAACCCGAGCCTTCGCCCGAGGGGCGACGGGCTTGAGCCGCCGGGCCCGCCCGGGGAATTACTGCCCCAAGGCCCGCCACGGCCAGGGCACCGCGATGAACTCGACGATCCACGGGGCGCCTCCACCCCCCACCGGCAATTTCGAAGGAGACGAATAATGCCCATTTTGTCCAGGGGGGGGGTTCGATAACGGCGACGGCTCTCCTCGCCCGCCAACTTGTCGCGACGGCGGCGGCCAAGACGCCGGCGATGCAGTCCCGCCGCCACGCCCAAGCAGGCGCATGAGAATGGCGACTCTGCAGGCGAAGGTCCACCAGGACGCCGCTATAGGCGCGCCACTGCGACCCGCGCAGCTTAGACAAGGGTCGGACCGCACGGGGAGCAACGCGGACGCCGCCGCCCCCGCCCCCCGCTGACACAGGCAGTCGAGCCCCAGCGCGCAGCCGCGCCAATGGCGCCAAGCGCCCGGGAGAGGACATGCGCGCGGCAGGCGAGGGGTCGCGGACTTCGCGCGAGGGGCCAGCTCTGCCGCCCAAGCCCGCTGGGCTGGCCAGTGGCATCGCGCACCCAGCCCCCCAGCGAGGCGCTTCCTGTCGCTGGGCAAGCCCTCCGCCTCGCCAGAGAAAGGGGGCCAAGGGCCTAGTGCCACCCACAGGGGCTCAGGAGCCCGCGTGGCACCAGCGAGGCCTACCGATCGGGGACGACGTGCTCTCATGCAGCACCTCGCCGCGACCGCGCAGCAGCCTGCTCAGGATTGCGAAGCCGCGCTAGCCACAAGCATCACGGCGCTCCAATAGTGCCACCTTGCAGGATCTTCTCCGGGCGCGATTTGCGGTTCGCCGCTGGCGCACCAGCGCTAGTCGCCAGCTCTCTTTCTGTGCGCTGTGGGGGCACCTGGTAGCGTGTCCCGCAGGCCTGGAACGGGGCGCCGAGGGGGATGCCCCAACGCGGCGCCTTCTCCCCCGTGTCTCCGAGGTGCGCGTGCCAAAGGATGCTCAACGCCGTGGTCTGCTTTTTTTTCGGGCGGGCAGGCGGGGCGCGCCGCGCCCTGATCGCCACGACCCCCTTGCGCTTCCAGCTGGGGTCCTTTTTCGACCGCGCCATGGAGAGTCGGGCCGGACGGGGGGGGGGATAGGGAAAGGGGGACTTACGAAATCGGCTGCGTGCAGCTGGTTTCGGCCCCACCGAGGGGCCCATTCCTCGATACATAGTCGCCTCCGGCGCCGGGAGGCGCCGGGAAAATCAGCTAACTACGTGAGCTGATTCTCAAACCCCCTCTTCGTTATCCCCCCTCTCGCCCGGCTCGAGAGAGGGTTCTTCTTGCCACCCCTGCCACCTACATGCGGCACGTATCGCCGAAAAGATGCGGGCAGAAGGAGCTAGTGCATCCTTCGCCCGTGGACCAGACTCGGTCCGCATTGGTGCGCTCTCCTTTTCCCTCTCCCTCCGGGCCCTTTGTCTCTCCCCCTTCCTTGCCCCCTCTGTGCTGTTCCCCCTCCCCCGCTCCCCTCCCCCCACACCCCATTTATTCCCCAGCCTCCTCCCCGCCTCCCCCTGTCGTCGCCGCCCCAACCCCCCCTCACCCTTTCTTCCGCCCCACTCCCTCCCCGTTCGGCCCGTCCATCTCCCACTTTGCATCATTCCCTTCACCTGCCCCCAACCTCCCCCGTCCCTCCCTCTTCACAATTACTCAATATGAATACTACTCTCCCTCTTCCCCTGATGGCGTGCTGGGAGTGGCCGACCCCCCCCGCGTACTGTTTTTTTACACACAGAATTCCCGGGAGTTGGGTTTTCGCTTGTTTTTTTCCAAAATGCTGCTCTCGCTGAGGCGCCGGCCTCATTTCTGCTCCCGAATCGTTCCGAATCGTGCTCCCGCTGCAGCGTGGGCCTCATTTTCGGATCGGTGTTTGGCCTCCGTCGTTCAGGATGGCGTTCTCGCCCCAGCGCGGGCCTCTTTCTCGCGCGCCCATCCGCCCGCCACCACCGCGCCGCACCACCACCACCACCACCACCACCCACCACACCACCCACCACCACCACCAGCACCACACCACCACCACCACCACCACACCACCACCACCACCACCACACAACCACGCACACACGCACGCACGCACGCACGCGCACCACCACCCACTACGCACGCGCGCGCGGAGCCACAGGTCCGCTACGACACGCGTCCGCGGATAGAGAAAATCAGCGCCATGGTAAGGGATGGGAGGGAGGGGTAGGACGTCAGATATGACGCGAGCGCACCTAGCTTGCCTCCCTCCCCTCCCTCCCCCCCTCCTCTTTCCCCCCTTCTCGCCGTCTTCCCTATTTTGCCCTTCCCTCCTTCTGGGGGTGCACAGGGACAAGCCACCCTTCTTCACTGCCATGGGCGGTGGCAAGCCCTTCGCGGACTGGCGGGCCGGCGCTGCCGACGCAAGGGGGATGAGGAGTTGAGGAAGAAAGACAGTCTGAACCATCGAGGTCACGAGGCTCGCCACACACGTGTTGTTTTGGAGCGTAGTGCGACCGTCTTGGGGGACCAGAGAGCGTGCCGTCGTCGGTCAGCCATGTGCGTGTCTAGCAATACAGGATACGCGTCCGGTTGTCTTGGGGACGCCCCGCGGGGATGATGTACGTACATGTTGTAGAGCTATGGTTGTTTCCGAGGTAACGAAGGGCTACAAGATATCGCGGTAGATGAGGGGATCTTTCTGCGACCGTCTTGTCGGGCGGCGGGGGGGGGGTTATTCAGGTGCTTGCGGCGGGCCCCACATGCGTGCCATAGCAGCACTATATGCACTTCTCGCCCTCCAGATGTTGAACTCGCTTTGGATTTTCTGCAGCTCGGGAGACCTCCGTATGCAACCCGCGCCACCGTTTTCCTTGGAGGGGGGGGGGGGGCGTCTGGATTCCCCCCCCCGACGAGCACCTCCGTCCCCGTCACGTGGGCGATTGGAGCGGGTCATGGCACCCGGAAGGGGGTGAGCACGTCGAGCTCGCTCTGACTCTCCGCAATGAGGAGGTTGCCCGAGGCCACAGCAGCCAGCGGGCTACCGAGCGTTTCCCCCGCATAGCGACGCCGTCGCGTCCAGGCCCCTGCGTGCTGCTCCCGTCCGCCCGACGCCTGCGCCCCGCGGGGGCGCAGAGGTAATCGCGCGTCCCAGTCTGGGCCATAGCGGGTGCCCTTTTTTCCAAGGGGGCGGCGCGGGGACTCGAGCGCGTGAAGATAATCGTGGCGCGCGATTCAGGCGATCGCAAACATGGATCAAGGGGGCGTGGATTTGCGACGGGTCCCGTTTCCATTGGAAATCGCGGATTCCCGCCGCCGAGCGAGGCGGCGTTGGCCGCATTTTGTGGAGGCACCTCCCCCGATCCATTGACTAGGCGACCGCGCGCCAAATCCATGGATCGTTAATCCATGTTTTCGCGCCCCCGGGCGATGCGCGACGTCAAGTGAACCAGTCTCTCCTCGTCTTCCCGTCGCGTCGGGCCGAGGCGGCGAGGGGCGTTGCCTCAGTAGGCCGCCGCAGTGGGGCCAGGAGGTCTTTAGAACCCCCCGAAAAAGAAACAAGTGAAATTAGTTATTCGCTCGGAGGCCTGATTGACGGACTGGTGTCCCACCAAAAGAGGGAAATTATTTTTGCGCTATCATGGTCAATCTTGGTTCAGGCATTTGGCGCTGAGAAGCTGTATCCTGAAAGCTTCATCTTGAGAAGGACTGTTGAAGGTCAGGCCCCGCGCGGGCCCTCAGAAAGCCCATCACTTGTCGCGTGGACAAAACAAAACTATGACGAGTTCTGTATAGTCTACGCTGGAAAAGTCGCCACGTTGGCCGCGCGCGCCGACCAGGCATCAGCAGGAGTTCTGCCCGCAGGGCTAAGTAAACGACGTTGAGCAATCTCGCAAATCAAAACGAAGCAATCCCGATTGCAATCCTCGTGAAAAATTGCTCACAAATGCTCCCGCGTGCAGGGTCGCCCACAATAGCATATCCCGTTGGAAAAATAACCCTCACACATGATCCAGGCCGCCCAGAAGTAGAGGGGCACCAGTCTCACGTCGCCGTGCGCGCAGACCAGGCGCAAGCAGGAGTTCTGCCTGCAGTAATAGGCAAGCGAGTTTGCACAACTTCGAGAAGCAAAACGAATCAAGTCCTATTGCAGTTCTTATGAGAAGATGCTTACAACTCCCCCGCGTGCAGGGTAGCCCACAATATATTTTTCCACGGGAACTAAGCCCCAAACCTGACCCAGCCCGACCAACAATAGTGTGAAACTAATCCCACGTCGCCGCGCGCGCCGGCCAGGCGCCAGGAGGAGTTCTGCCAGCAGAGCTAGGTAAACGACTTTGAACAATCTCGCGAATCGAATCGAAGCAACTCCGATTGCAATCTTCATGAGAAATTGCTCACACATCCTCCCGCGTGCAGGATACCCCACAATAGCTTATTCCATCCCACGTCGCCGCGCGCGCCGACCAGGAGCCACCAAGCAAACGACTGAGCACTTCTGATTGCAAACGACTGAGCACGACTGAGCAAACGACTGAGCACTTCTGCTTGCAATCCCTCATGAGAATTTGCTCACACATCTTCCCGCGTGCAGGATACCCCACAATAGCTTATTCCGCTGGAGAAACCACCCCCGAACATTACCCAGCCCGCCCAACAATAAAGGGATACTTACGCCACGTCGCCGCGCGCGCAGACCAGGCGCCAGCAGGAGTTCTGCCAGCTGTGGCAGGCAAGCGAGTATGCACGACTTCGCAAATCTAGACGAAGCAAGTCCGATTGCAATCCTCATGAGAAGATGCGCCTTCAATATATCATTCCGCTGGGGAACGAACGCCCAAACATGATCCAGCCCGCCCAATACAAGAGGGAAACCAACCATGTCGCCGCGCCCGCCGACCAGGCGGCAGCAGGAGTTGTACCGACAAGGCTAGGCAAGCGAGTATGAGCAATCTCGCAAATAAAAGAGAAGCACAGCTGTATTGCAATCATCACGAGAAGATGCTCACACATCCCGCGCGCAAGGTAGCCCACAATGGATTATTCCGTTGAAGGAAAAACCCCCAAACCTTACCCAGCCCGCCAAATAATATAGGCAAACTAATCCCACGTCGCCGCGCGTGCCGACCAGGCGACAGCAGGAGCACTGCCAACAGTGCTAGATAAACCTCTTTGAGTAATTTTGCGAATCAAAACGAAGCAATTCCGATTACAATCCTCATGAAAAAATGTTCACGCATCCTCTTGCGGGCAAGGTATCGCACAACAAATTAGTTCGCTGGATAAACAACACCCTAGACATATTATCTGGCCCGCCCAACAATACAGGGACACCAATTTCACGTCGCCGCGCGCGCCAGGCACCACCAGGAGTTCTGCCTGCAGTAATAGGCAAGCGATGTTGCACGACTTCGCAAAGCAAAGCGAAGCAGTTCTTATTGCAATCCTCATGAGAAGACGCTCACAAGTGCTCCCGCGTGCAGGGTATCCACAATGTGTTTTCCCGCCTGAGCAATATCCTACCAACATTACCCAGCCCGCCCAACAATAGAGGGACAATTCTGTCCACCGCGACGGGGAGGTTTTCGGACCAGTTCCATTACCGCCGAGAGAGATCAGGGGGGGTCACACGTATAAACCTCAGAGGAGTTTCATCGCATGCGATATTTCTTCCCCAGCCCCCGACTTTCCGACGGACAGTGAAGCCGTTCAGAAAAGGAGAGGGGGGCGCCCTGGGATATACCCCAAGTGTGTTATCCAGACGCGAGGGTGGCCCTCGTGTGTCCCATGCTCGGGCCCCAGATGGTTGGTCCATTCGAGAGCCCCACGAAGCCTGGGATACGTGGTCGACACATCCCTTGCTATTGGTTCAACCCGAGCCGTGTCTGGACGGCCTTCCCTGGAGGCCGAGAATGTCTTCCAGGATGTTCTCCCCTGCTTCCCGCCCGCGGCGCGCGAGGAAGGCCCCGGGCCCCGCCGCCCGCTCGCGCGCCCCCCCCCCCCCCCTCGCGAGGAGTACGCCGACACCTCCCTGCTCCCCAGCGGGCACGTCTAGGGCCGGCCTCGCGGAGGGGTGGCGGGCGGCGCCCGTGCAGCTGCCCTCGGCTGCGCATGGGAAGGACCCTTCTCGCAGGCCTGGAGGTTGACACCAACGCCAAGATCGGCGGTATGCCTCCACCGAGGGAAGACGATCCCGATCTCGGTGATGGTGGCAATATGCTGGCTTGCAAGGTGACCGACATATTGCCACCAACACCGAAATCCAGGATCATCTTCCCCATGTGGAGGCAGACCTCTGTGCTGGTGCTGGTGCCAATTTCCTGGTCTCCAGCCTTCGCCGGAGCGGCCTTTTGGTGCGGGCCCGTCGAGCCCCCCCGTCGATCGTTGAGCGCGATGCGATGCCGCCGTCTTGCGCGCTTGGGTTTGGCCCTGCTGCGCCTTTTCGGCACGAACGAGATGGGTACGGAAGGAACGGGTAATTACAATGTCCGACAGGAGTTCTTGTTCATTCTGAATAGGACTCGCTGTCCGCGCCGCCGCGGCCCGTGTCCATTTGAGACAGACAGCCGCCTGCCCAACAGCGGCTGATGTTGGTTTGGGAAACTTGTTGCTGGGCATTGTATCCGTTTTTTTCGTACCCTGCTTTGGCGTCCAGAGTTCCCTTTTTTCCGCGCACCAAGGTCATTCTTGCCCAAGGTCACTCTTGCCTGTAGCCGATGCCCTTCCCGCCCCGCGCGGGCCAAGCGGTGACCCTCCCGCCGCGTGCAGCCAGGCACCGCTGCAGACCCGGGGGGGGGGCAACGAGGGTGAGTAGTCCAAGAGGTGTGCTTTGCGCGCATTCGCCTGGGAGCCTTGTCGAACACATGGGCGATCGAAGCCCCTGGATGCGCGTAGTGCTACCCCCCTGGCCATCCGCCGCTGCTGCGCTTCCCGAGCGGAAGGCAGGGTGGGTTCTGGGAGGTTGCCGGTGGTCGTCTGAGGCTTCCAAACGAAGTGTTCTTGCGTTTGCATTGTGTTCGGGTCTCTCTTCCAGATGCGTCTGGAGTTTGGGAAGCTTCTCGGAACAGTGCAGGAGGATAGATGTGGAAGAGTGAGGGGGAGGGGAGGAGGAGAGAGAACGAAGGAGCAGGAGGCAGGAGACGGAGGTGAGAAATCAGCGAGGAGGAGGGACGATGAGAAGGAGCAGCAGCAGGAACAGGAGTGCGAACAGGTTCAGACGTCTCACCGCTGCCAGAAGGGTGGCAGCACGGTCAGGCCTGGCCAGCCCCGAAGGGGTCGCCGGCAAACTTGTTCTGGCGGGATGCTCGGGGCGGCCCAAGCTTGGCACGGCCCGGCGCTCCGCGACTGCTGCCGCCCCCGGTGGTGCGCTCGCGCGCCGGTTGCGGCGAAAGCATGGGCCTCATCCTTGCCGTTCCTGGCCATCCTGCGCCCCTCCCTCCGAAGTGAGGAGGGTCCAGGTCTTTGGACGAGGAGGAGGAGAAGATTTTGCAGGCGCTTTTGCGGTCACGAGGCGAAGAGGCACGATGTTGCCATCCGGCCATCCGGGTTCTGTCATTCCCGCGACGAGCCTCGCCGTCGCTCATTCCCCAGAGGACCACCCTAAAATTGGGTAGTTCGACTCTCGCGCATTGGGGTTTGTTTTCCAGAGGGGGGGGCGGGAGAGTGAGAGAGGCGAAGGAGTAGGGAAGGAGGGGGTGGGGCGGCAGGGGGAAGGGGAGACGTGGGGGCGAAGGACATGGGGGAGAGGATGGGAAGGAGCATTGTGTGTTTCCTGCTCCACACCCTCCGCCTCTTGCCGCTCCTCCTCCGCGCACCCGGTATACCCCTCATCCTTCCCCTCACCTCCTCCGTTCTTCCTCCTCTTCTCCGCCCTCGCTACAATTGCACAGTGCCCACCGAGGTAGAGAAGTTGCCAGGACCCTGAGTGCGGTGCCACCTCTCGCCACCGTGTACGTGAACCTGGGATGCTGGAGCTGACTGGCGGGCGAAGATCGATGTCTTGTTGGACGAATATGACAGGGCCAAGAGCACGAGAGAGTCACCGAGTTTTCGGAAGCTGGTGGTAAGAATCCGGGAAGCTACGCTTGCGATGCCGTCTGTGACGTTCGCCAGTGTACGTGGGGAGGGCAGCATCTCTTGGCGCAGAAAATTCCAAATGCCAGGCTCGGCAGATAATGGAACGATACGTAGGTATAGGGACGAGTGAGCGAAGCTTTCCAGCAGTATGCAGATAATGGAATCTGATTCACAATACTTGGCTTTCGCGGGATGGGCAGAGGAGCCTTCTGTTTCAGCCCCAGGTAAGCAATTCAGGTTGGCCAAGGACCAAGGACAAAAACGCCTTGAAGGACGAGTCCGAGCTGGGACAAGTCATATCGAAGGACCCCAAAGGCTGCCATGGATATCAACGCGTGCACGTGGGAAGTTAAGTGGGATGACGATGAGTTGGGTAGGGACAGGGTCAAGAAGATGATTGACGAGCTCCGTGGAGCTGCCTCTGTTTCTCTCTCCGTTCCCTTCGGTGAGGAATTGCTCAAGGAAAGTACCGTGAAGATATAGGGTTCCAAGGCCGAGGGAGTAGAGCAGCTGAGAAAGAAGGATGTGACCTGGTTGCACCCCTCCCCTCCATGGGCAAGTTGGAACTGGTACGTACAGTCGCATGGCCTTGGCAAATTGTGGTGGTGCTGGAAACGTTGACCAGGAAACCCTCAGGCGATGATCGTGCTATTGGTGTGCTACCTGGTATGGCAAGACTGTGGTCAAGCTGCTCAAGACCGCACGGAGCAAGATGTACCAAGGACCGCAATGATGTTTGGGAAGCAGCGTTGGAAGGATCTGTTCCGTTGAAGGAGCTGTTGTGGAGGAGCTAGATGGTTTAGACAATCACCCTCTCCTCCATCAAAGGCTGGATGCATGTAGGCGTCTTGCGGGACGCGGAGGCCTTGTGCGACGCGCTGCGTTGGGAGTTGCGTATTGCGAAATGCATAAAGCACCAGCTTCCCGCTCTCTTATTATGGGCTTGATGACGATCTTGCGCATGGCGTCCCACATTTGCAGGGAAAGTGGATACGACCCGGACGTGATAAACCCAAGGAGGGCATGATTGCCGGATTCGGAGGAGGCGTGGGTTGTTCCAGGTGCGATTTCGATGGTATGATCGATGAAGCAACCATTGGAGGTTCTGGTGTTATGAGAAGGTCTTGGGATGAAGATGTTTCTCAAAGGGACCGAGGATAGGTGCAACAGAGCGTTGAACCGAACCATGAGTTCGGGGATGTGCTTGGGCCTGGGTCGTGCGCAGGCAGGGCTGGTGGTCTCTACGAACATTGGGATTGTCACGTCGCGTTTAGAGCTGGGGGGGGGGTTCAGAAGGAAGACGCCTGAGCATTGTTCTCCAATATCTCGCCGGACGCAAGGACTTCCCACATCATGTCGGTCAGAGGTTAGTGGATCTCAGGCGATTGCTTTTTTAGGCCATACTTTGATATGGAGTTGGTCGGGTACGCCTGGAGGACTGCTAGGCCCCGAGTTGTAGCCAGAGCTAAGCGCGACAGGTGGAGACGCATGACAGGGGCGGCGTCTGCGAAGGTCGCCACTCTACTCGTTATGGAGTGGGGTACCAAGCTCCTGATTCTACGAGTAGGGATGGGCCGCGGGATGTTGCTGCCCTCGAAGAGGCTGTATCTGAGTACTTGGACAGACTCTTGTGGGCCAAAGCCAGCGAGCACTGGCATGGCAGGGGAATGGAGCAAGGCGCGGATCTACGAGACGCTCGGCTGCACAACAAGGCGCTCGAAAAGAAGCAGGACCCTCACTTGGCAGGCGTAATGGAGGCATTTGTGACGGGCGCTTCATGGAATCGCGCGCCCCCTGCCGCTCTTGGCGGCAATACGGGCTAGTTCTCTTTCCTGCCCGGGGTGCGCAGAGGTGGAAAGGTCGGATCCTCAGCGGGGCTGAGGCTGCAGTCGCTATCTGAGTTCGCCGTTACCTCCAGCCTTGAGAACAACGCGGAGTGTTGCTTGGCCTGTGGCTGAGGGGCGTTACTCAGTACTCCTGCTGCTTGGATCAAACCGGACGCCCCGCTTCCGCCCGATGCAACTGCAGACGCGACCTTTTTGGCGAGGCGGCGAGGTCCCACAACTTGCGCGAGATCCTGGTCGGCGAGAATGCATCTGGTGGCGAGCGCTCCGCGGGCCCAGGGTCGGATGGGCCTACCAGGTGGCGAAGGTGAATTACGAAGTGGGGCCGAGCCTGGGCACGCTGCGTGGGCGCGCTGGTGGCGTTGCAGGCAAGCAGACCTTTGAATCGGGGTGAGCTGACGGCCAAGCTGGCGGCGATGGAGGAACAGTTGTGCTCGGCAAATTGGCCACTTTTGCCGCGCGGACTTTCGCGTTGCCAAGCGCTTGTTCATGGGGGGGCAAACGTCGATCCTAGGCAAAAGCTGCGTAGCTCCATCACAGGGGAATGGGCGTGGCCCCGTCCGGCCGAGGTCGAGAGCCACTGGGCGATCCAGGTTGTTCAGAGGACGGTGCGAGAAAGTGGCGGTTGACAAGGCGGCGGTGGACTCGGGGGCATGCCTCGGTCATCGGGCGCGCGCCGAGGACGCATTTGGCAAAGGCTTGCCTAGCAGCTTCTGAGGCGGAATCCAAGCGCTCGCGCCCTCCGCGCCCAATGGCTGAGGGTCATCAAAGACAGGCCCACGTGCCTGAGCGCGCGGTGCACAATGGGACGGGATCGGCTATTCATTGGCGCCAATGTTGGCGCGGCGCGAGCGAGGAAAGTTGGAATCTTCCTTAAAGGCGGCGTGCCCGGGCGGCGCTGTCAAAGGATCTATTCAGGGAATCGGCGATATCGTTGTTGTGTCGGCCCAAGGGTCCCCCCATCCAAAGCTCGCATCTCCTGAATCAGATCCTGGACCCGCAAATCCAACTTTTCTCAGGTGCCGTTGCGTCGGGGCTCCCCCGTCCCTCCCTCCTCCCCCTTGCCTTCTCCTCCCTTTCTCCTCCCGCCCTTCTTCTCTCTCATGATCTTGCTCCCCTGCATCCCCCGCTGCCGTCTCCTCCCTCCACGCTCCTCCGTATCCGGTTCTCATTTCCCCTCCTCCTTGCCTCCTTTCTCCTTCCTGTTCCTCTCCATTTTTCCTCCTTTCTCCCTTCCTTTCTCCTTCCTCCTTCCTCCTTCTTTCCTCCTTTCTCTTTCCTGTTCCGTCTTTCTTTCTCCTTTCTTCTTCTTTCCTTCTTTTGCCTTACTGTTCCTTGCCATTCTGGAAGTCCCCTGACTTGCGAAAGTGGGACTCCGAAGCGACCTCGGAGGCCCAGATAGTCCAGAAGATTCCAAGCCAAGGACCGACCAGCCAGGCACGGCCCCTCGGACAGCTATACGCTTGGCCCCACGGCAGGAAGGAGCTCGAGCGCACGCGAAGCGCGCGCGATGGCTCCAGTCAAAGGGCTGTGCCGTACGGATCTGCGCCGGATCGTAGTTGTGTACACATGGTGGATAGGGTTGGGTCGTATGTCGGAGGTGGACAGACCTTCTTTCCTGACACGTCGATTAAGGAATTGGCCGTTTTCGGTTCGCGAGAGGGCGTCGCTGCCGTCATTTTTGCGGGTCCAGGTCCGTCGGGTTCGGTCCCAGGCCGTTTTCACTAATGGGAGGTTTACTGAAGGGAGGTTTGTCCACCGCCGATTACACATGGTGGATAGGGTGAGGGTCGTATGGGTGTGAGCACACTTGTCAGCGACGCCCGCGAGGTGCGCCGCGCGTGCCAGGCGCGCCGCGCGCACCAGGTGCGCACCTTCACTGTCGCCAGCCCCTCGCGGCCTTCCACGCAGGGGGGCTCAGGCGTCCCAGGCCCGGTTTGGCGGAGGTGGCATGGAGAACCGCCCGGGTGCCCAGCGGAGGGAAACGGGTCCTGGACTTTGGGGTTTCCCCCCAGAACCAGTTCTTCATCGCATCGCACCGCCACTGGCACAAGAGTTGCCTGAACTATTCAGGGGTTGCCTGTGAGCACATTTGTATTCATGTTGCATCGGATTGTGAGGGTTGGGTCGGATGGAGGTGCACGGAATCATATTCGGTGCATCGGATGGAGAGGGTTGGGCCGTATGGATGTGCGAGTCGTTGAGGCGAGAACCGCATTTCGAAAAGAACCGGCCTCCATCTTTGGAGGTGGTGCAAGTTTGTGAGACAGGCGGGCGCTGCGTTAGGGCAAGAGCCACCTTTTGAAACGAGGCAGCCTAGATCCTTGAAGCTGCTGCACGGATTTAACACGAATGCGCGCGGCGCCAAGGCGATTGCCACGTTTTGAAAACCATCCGGGATCCATCTTCGAAATTGCTGCAAGCTCTAAAGCTGCAGGATCATAGTTGGAGAGGAAGTTTCAGACTAAACGCCCAGCGCCGCCTATGACAATGACCTATGATGGGACAGGGAGGAGTTATTCACATGGACAACGGATGGGAAGAGGGGGAGGTGGAGGAGAAAAGGAGGAGGATGAGGGAGTAGGAGCAGGAGGAGGAGGGGGATGAGGAGGTGAGGCAGAGGGGGAGGAGGAGGAGGAGGAGGAGGAGGAGGAGGAGGAGGAGGAGGAGGAGGAGGAGGAGGAGGAGGAGGAGGAGAGGGAGGAGGAGGAGGAGGAGGAGGAGGAGGAGGAGGAGGAGGGGAGGAGGAGGAGGAGAGGAGGAGGAGGAGAGAGGGAGGAGGAGGAGGCGGAGGAGGAGGAGGAGAGGAGGAGGAGGAGGAAGGAGGAGGAGGAGAAAGAGGAGGATGAGGAGGAGGAGGAGGAGGAGGAGGAGGAGGAGGAGGAGGAGGAGGAGGAGGAGGAGAGGGGAGGAGAGGAGAGCCGCGCACCGCGGGCGCTCGGCTCGCGAGTCGGGGTGCGGCGGGTGCGGCGGCCTGCGGCGGCGGGTGTGCGGCGCGGCGATGTCCAGGCGCGCCCTCGCCCAGGGGGGGGGGGAGCGCTCCTCTCTGGCGGCATCGGCGCCGGGAGGGCGAGGGAGGGGGGGGGAAGGGGAGAGGGGGGAGGAGGGTTCGATTGGATTTGATCAACGCTGCAGGTGACGCAGCCGAACCCTTCACCACAGAACTCCACGGGGGTGCACTCCTCGACGAGCCTCGCTCTGTCGCACCCTGGAGAGATCGGCTTCAGTGATCGCGGCCGACGGCCTCTGATGGCTGGGGTGCTTGCCCTGGCGGATCCTCGCCAGGTTCTCGTGGCCCTTCTTAGAAGGCGTGCGCACCCCAGTGAGCTCACGCGGGTCCGTCGAGGCCGTCTGGGAACGAAAGTGCAGTGAAAGCCGAGGCCAGCCGACTGGACTCGTGCAATGTATTTCTACCCGCCGACCCGTGTCATAGCGGACCTGAAACCGCCAAAAGGACCCTATCGTGTCAGGCGCAATCAGAGATGAGGAGCTGCATTTGCGGGGAAGGCGGAGAAGGGGAAATGTGGGGGGTGACAGGGAGGAGGACGGACTCGGATCCAGAATTGTGGCCTCGCTAGGGCGAGAACACCATTCCAAACGACAGGAGCAAAGCATCGCTTGTAGAATGAGACCAGCGCTGCAGCGGGAACACATGCTTGAAACACCGAAAACGCTCTGAATTGGAATGGCTGCCATTGATTAGATTACAACGAATTGACTTCCAATCGTTTGACATGCAAGCGATGGGAATACTGCCAACTGGCTTTCAATCAAAAGATTGGCAATCGATTGGTTTGCAGTCTATTGCATTGCAATCGGATGTGATGCAAGCGATCGCATGGCAATCGGTGGGACTGCAAACTTCAAAGCGAATGGGTGGACCTTGGGTGGGGGGGGCTAGCATACACATACATGATCGCGGGCGCTTGGCCAACGGTCCCCCCCCCAGAAGGGATGGGTCCCAGGGTCCTCGGCCCCCCCCCCCAAGATGGGATGGGGGGGGGAGGAGGAGGAGGAGGAGGAGGAGGAGGAGGAGGGAGGAGGAGGAGGAGGAGGAGGGGAGGAGGAGGAGGAGGAGGAGGAGGAGGAGGAGGGACGACGACGGCGACGACGACGACGACGACGAAGACACCGTCCGCTCGGGCTCCCTGAAGCACCGGAACACAGACCCAGAAGGAGGCGACGACGGTGAAGACACCCTCGACGACGATGTTCTTTTTCCTCCTCCCCCCATCCGCCTCTCCATCCCTCCCTCCTCCTCCTCCTCCTCCTCCTCCTTCTCCTCCTCCTCTTCTCCTCCACACACACACACTACACTACATGCTCCTCCTCCTCCGACGACGACGACGACGACGACGACACGACGGCGGCGGCGGCGCCAGCGACGCCGACATTTGGCTGAGGTGGACCCCTAACCACCGCACACCCACAGGGGGGACCCCACACCACTCCCACAAGGGGGGGGGGGGGCATCGCGCGGGGGGGGGGCCAATGGCATTAGCATTGGGGGAAAGGGGGCCCAAACCCTCGACCATATATAGGTATGTGTAGTTATATGTGTATGTAATATCTATAGGTTCACTTAAATGTATGTGTATATATATAGATGTGTATGTGCAGAGCTGCATGCGTGTATGCATGTGTGTATGCGCGTCCGTGCAGTTGTATGCCTGTGTACATGTGTGTATGTACGCATGCAAGTATGTGTGTGTGTGCATGTATGCATGTTTGTGTGTCTGTATGTGCATGTATGTATGCATGCAAATATGTGTGTGTGCATGCATGTATGGACACATATATGTATGCATGTATGTATGTATGTAGGAATGTATGTATGTATGTGCGTGGGTGCGTGCGTGCGTGCGTGCCAGTATGTGTATATGTGTACATGCGCATGTATGTATGCATGTTTGTATGTATGTATGCATGTATGCATGTATGTATGTATGTATGTATGTGTGTATGTGTGCACGCGTGTGTGTATATGCATGTTTGTTTACACGCATGCTCATGTATACTTGTATGCATGTATGTATGTACGTATGTACGTATGTACGTATGTACGTATGTACGTATGTATGTATGTATGTATGTATGTATGTATGTATGTATGTATGTATGTATGTATATACACGTATGCTTGTATGCCTGTCTGTATGCTTGCTTGTCTGTTTGGTCGTACGTCTGTTTGGCTGCATGCCAGTATGTTTGCATGTATGATTTTACGCATGTATGTATGCCCATACATGTACATACATGTACATGATTAATTTCGTATGCCGACATCTGTACATGCATATCTGTATATATACTAGTGTGGACCCGTTGATTAAATGCACGGAGGTGAGTGGATCGAAGTTTTGTGGCGCGCGCTGGGTGGTACGACGCTTTCACCTACTGCAGCAGATCCTTTGAAGCTTGTTCTGGAGATGTTCTCCAGCCGAAGGCGCCGAATCCAGCGAGGCGGGCCGTCGGGGAGCCGCTAGGGAGCTTTTTGGGGCCCCTTTGGGGGCCTCTCGAGGCACTCTTGGTCCGTGTAGGGGCTCTCTTGGGCCCTCTCGGGGCCGCCTTGGGCGCCTCTTGGGCCGTATTGGGGTCTCTTGGGGCCATGGTGGGCTGTCTTTGGCCCATCTTGGGCCCCTTTTGGGCCGTCCTGGGGCAGTCAGGAACCATCTTGGAGCCCCGTTGGGGACGCCTCGGGCCGTCTTGGGACGGTGTCGGAAGCCTCTGGGGCCGTCGTGGGCGCGTCGAACACGGAAAAAGAGAATGCGCAGAAAGTAGCAATTTTACGATGGGAAATGCTACGATTTTTGCGTGATGGGGCCCAATGTGGGAGGCATCTTGGGCCGTGCGGAGGCTGTCTTGGGCAGGCCCGGGACCTCGGGTGGCCGCGGGCAGGCACGTCTGAAGTGTTCTGGGGCCGTTTGGAGGCTCTCTGGGGGCCCGGGGCCACTAAGAAGTGTTTTGGAGCCGTTTGGGGCAGTTTGGGGGCTCTCGGGGGGTCCGGGGGGGCCAGGGCCACTGAGGTATCTCTCGAATTTATTGGAATGGATCTGTGTGTGTATATATATATATATACATGGATCTAAATAGCGCTCGCGGACGAGTTCGCGCGTGCGACCCGGGCTCGACGCCGTGTGGGTTTCGGCACAATGCCCTCGACATCATTGGGGCAAGGCCACCGTCCCCCGTTCAGCGCAGCGACGGTTGCGACTGTGACGACGGCGGCTGCGGGGACGACCACGGCGGCCGCAACGGCGGCGAGTGCGACGGCGACAACCCCAGACGCCCGACGATGTTTCGCAAAGTGGACCCCGGAGGTTTCGACCCATTCCCTGGGACTGGTTTTTCATCCCGAATCGTTTTGTTGCCAGTCCCGGGGGCCGAAAACGGCCAACACCGTCCGTCATGTCTTTTTCACGGCGCGAGGTGTTCTGGGACTGCGGGCCCTAGCGCCGGCGACGACGGCGGCGGCAGCGGCGACGGCCGCGGCGACGGGCGGCAGCGGGCTGCGCGCAACGTAGGTCGGCGTGGGCCGTCGGGCTGGTTGCCGCCGCCGTGGTCGCCGTGGCCGCAGCCGCGGAGAGCGTCGCGCGCGGGGGGCCGGGAGACGGGGCCCAGGGGGGATGATGATGATGATGATGATGATGATGATGATGATGATGATGATGATGATGATGAGGAGGAGGAGGAGGAGGAGGAGGAGGAGGAGGAGGAGGAGGAGGAGGAGGAGGAGGAGGAGGAGGAGGAGGAGGAGGAGGAGGAGGAGGAGGAGGAGGAGGAGGAGGAGGAGGAGGAAGGGGGAGAAGAAGAAGAAGAAGAAGGAGAAGGAGAAAAAGAAGAAGGAGAAGAAGAAGAAGAAGAAGACGAATAAGAAGAAGAATAATAAGAAGAATAAGAAGAAGAAGAAGAAGAAGAGGAGGAGGAGGAGGAGGAGGAGGAGGAAGGAGGAGGGGGACCCCACCAGCGGATGACAGCCCTATTGCTCAAGCGTGCTGGGCCTCACGTCTTGCGAGGGCAGCTGCGGGGGTGCATATGGCGTGGAAGTTGTGCCTGCGGGAGGGCGCGATACAGCACACCCTCTGCTTGCAGCAGCAGATCGACGCGTTCGACGGGCACGGGCACGGGGGGCGGCGGATCGTTTGGTGAGGCGCCTGGGCGGTGAGCTGGCCGCCGCTCGAGCGCAGGCGACCCGCGCCCAGGAGCTGCTCGAGGCTCGGCGCTGCTGGGACCCCGGCCCCAATATATGCAGGCGCGTCGAGGTCATCGTGCCGATCCCAGCCGAGGAGATCGGCGTCGTTAGGGGGCGAGGCGCAGCACCTGTCCACTCGCACCTCGAGAGGGTGTTCCGCGACGTCGCCCTGCACACCTTCGACGTGCCGATGGAAGACCTGGAGGGTTTGTCTTCTCGAGGGCTGAGCAGGGTGCAGAGGAGCGGGCGGGGCAGCAGGATGCAGGGGACGCCGCTCGTGGAGTCGACCTTGCGGGCCGACGCCGCCCCGTCCGTCCCGCTCGGCTCCGAGGCGGTGCCTGCTGGCGGTGGCTGGGATGCTGCCGCCGCTCTGGCACCTGTGCATTTTGCGGCGCCACCTGCTTCTCGAGCTGCTCGGGGAGGCCAGGGCCGCCGCCCGAGGAAGGGCCCCTGCGGGGGACGACCGCCCTGCCGCTGCAGCCGCCGAGGGGGGCCGGGTCAGATGGCCCGTCTGACGATGCCGGCATGGATGCTGCCATGGTCGTGCCCGGCCCAGCTTCGGACACACAATCACCAACACCGACAAGGACCCCGGCAGGGATGAGGACCAGGTCGTGGAGGAAGTGGATTGGCAGGTTCCGCAGGAGCGTGCCGTGCAACCCTCCGTGCGTCGCCGTGCGGGTGCTCAACCACATCCAGGACCAGGAGGTCGAGGACCAGATGGCGCGCTGGCCGTCAACAGGATGCGTGGATGCGAGGGCACGGCGGCCTTTTGTGCGTCGTCGCGAAAGGGTCGACGAGATCGAACGCCAAGCTCGCAGCGGCAGGAATTGGAAGGCCGCGGATGTCTCTGCTAACGACCGCAAGCGGTCATAATATTTGTTCACTGGGTTAGATGTCCTCTATGACGGATGTATTGCCCACAATATTCTTGTTTTTCCTGCAATTAAATTGGTCGTATTCCAGCCATGCAGAGTGTCAGTGATTTCTGGCTTCGGTCCCTCACACATTCTGTCGATGAGTCATAGTTCATGAGTTGTTGTCCCGCTGATTATGTTATTCCTGGGTTTTTGCTTCGTCATGGGCTTGGAACGTATGCTGCGGGTGACTGGCAGCGGCGGACCATCCTCTGAGTTGTGTACCCCTTTGGCTCTCGTGGAATGCCTCTGGCGCCTCGGGTTGTGCGATGATGATGAGAAGGAGGAGGAGGAGGAGGAGGAGGAGGAGGAGGAGGAGGAGGAGGAGGGGGAGGAGGAGGAGGAGGAGGAGGAAGAGGAGGAGGAGGAGGGGAGGAGCAGGTGCAGGAGGAAAAGGAGGAGAGGGAGGTGCAGGAGGAGAAGGAGGAGGAGAAGGAAGAGGAGGCGGAGACGGAGGCGGAGGCGGGGGCGGGGGCGGAGACGTCGGAGGAGGAAGATGAGGAGGAAGAGGCGGAGGAGATAGAAGCGGAAGCGAAGGCGGAGGCGGATGTGGTGGAGTTGGAGGGGGCGGAGGAGGTGGAGGAGGAGGAGGAGGAGGAGGAGGAGGATGCCGTCGACGACGAGGAAGAGAGGAGGAGCGGGAGAGGAGGAGGAGGAGGAGGAGGAGGGAGGAGGAAAAGGAGGAACAGAAACAGACAGGAAACAGGAACAGGACAGGAGGAGAGGAGGAACAGGAGGAGGAGGAGGAGGAGGAGAGGAGGAGGATGAGGAAAAGGAGGAGGAGGAGGAGGAGGAGGGGAAGGAGGAAGGGGGGGAAGAGGGGGACGGAGAGGTGGAGGGGGATGATGGAGGAGGAGGAGGGGAGGGCGGAGGGTGATGACGAGGAAAAGGAGGAGGAGGAGGAGGAGGAGGAGGAGGAGGAGGAGGAGGAGGAGGAGGAGGAGGAGGAGGACACAGGGGGGGGAATGAGGAGGAGAAGGGGCGGGAGGACGAGGAGGAGGAGGAGGAGGAGGAGGAGGAGAGGAGGAGGAGGAGGAGGAGGAGGGGGAGGGGGAGGGGAGGGGGAGGGAGGAGGAGGAGGAGGGGGGGGAGGAGGAGGAGGAGGAGGAGGAGGAGGAGGCGGAGGAGGATGAGGAGGACGAGAAGGAAGCGGAGATGGGGGAGGAGGGGGAGGAGGGGGAGGAGGAGGGGAGAGGGGGCGGAGGAGAGGAGGAGGAGGAGGAGGCGGAGGAGGGTGAGGAGGAGGAGGGGGAGGGGGGGGAGACGAGGAGGGGGCGACGAGGAGGGGGCGACGAAGGGGAGGGGGGTGGGCGGTGGGTGGGGCGGGGGGGGAGGGGGAAGGGGGGGATGCGGAGGAAAAGCAGGAGGAGGAGGACGACGCCGACGAGGAGGCGGAGAATGACGAGGATGCGGAGGAGGATGAGGAGGAAAAGGGGGAAGGGGAGGATGAGCCGGAGGAGGCGGAGGAGGTGGAAGAGGAGGATGAGACGAGGAGGAGGAGGAGACGCGGAGGAGGGGGGAATGATGAGGAGGAAGGAGCACGGAGGACGAGGAATGAGGAGGAGGAAGACGAGGAGGAGGAGGAGGAGGAGGAATTGGAGGAGGAGGAGGAGGAGGTGGAGGAGCAGGAGGGAGACAAACAATGAATGATCAGGGGGAGGGGAGCGGGGAGGGAGGATGAGGAGGGGCGGTCTAATTGTCCCCTGGCTGGTCATCCACTTTCGGTGCACATCTTGTTTTTCCCAACCATCCTGCGGTGTTGGGTCCTCGTTTTGAAAAGACGGTCCCCGCGTCCTCTCCTCTCCTCTCCTCTCCTCCTCTCCTCCTCTCCTTTTCACCCACCCAGTACACCGCTTCGTGGCCCCATAGGGAGCTCCGCCGAAGGCCCCAGTGCTGCCGCCCGCATGCGTCACCCACACCCAATTCGGCACACCCCTCACACGTATCGTGGCCCCATGAGCCCCACCGAAGGCCCCACCGCATGCGTTTTCGGCACACCCCTGTACCACCCAAGTCGGCACACCCCATAGGGAGCCCCACGAACCCACCATTCGTCCCGTGCTCACAGGTGAAGCCCCACGCACACCCAATTCGGCACCCCTCACACGTTTCGTGGCCCCATAGGAGCCCCGAAGGGCCCCAATGCTGCCGCCCGCATGCGTCACCCACACCCAATTCGGCACACCCCTCACACGTTCGTGGCCCCATAGGGAGCCCCCCGAACCGAAGGCCCAGTGCTGCCGCCCGCATGCGTCACGCACACCCAATTCGGCACACCCCTCACACGTTTCGTGGCCCCATAGGGAGCCCCACCGAAGGCCCCAGTGCTGCCGCCCGCATGCGTCACACGCACACCCAATTCGGCACACCCCTCACACGTTTCGTGGCCCCATAGGGAGCTCCACCGAAGGCCCCAGTGCCCGCCCGCATGCGTCCCGCACACCCAATTCGGCACAACCCCTCACACGTTTCGTGGCCCCATAGGGAGCTCCACCGAAGGCCCCAGTGCTGCCGCCCGCATGCGTCCGCACACCAATTCGGCACACCCCTCACACGTTTCGTGGCCCCATAGGAAGCTCCACCGAAGGCCCCAGTGCTGCCGCCCGCATGCGTCACGCACACCCAATTCGGCACACCCCTCACACGTTTCGTGGCCCCATAGGGAGCTCCACCGAAGGCCCCAGTGGCGGCGCTCACATGCGCATGCGTCCCGCACACCCATTTCGGCACATCCCTGACAGGTTTCGTGGCCCCATCATCCACCGGAGGCCCCAGTAGCGGCGCTCACACGCGTCACCCACACCCACCCAATTCGGCACACCCCTCACACTTTTCGTGGCCCCATAGGGAGTTCCACCGAAGGCCCCAGCGGCCGCGCTCACATGCGTCCCCGCCACCCATCCCGGCACGCCCCTCACAACAACAGGTTTCGTGGCCCCATAGGGAGCTCCACCGAAGGCCCCAGTGGCCGCCCGCATGCGTCACCACCCGCACCCAATTCGGCACACCCCTCACACGTTTCGTGGCCCCATAGAGAGCTGCACCGAAGGCCCCAGTGGCGGCGCTCACATGCGTCCCCGCCACACATCCCAGTACACCCCTCACGCGCTTCGTGGCCCCATAGGGAGCTCCACCGAAGGCCCCAGTAGCGGCGCTTACATGCGTCTCCGCCACCCATCCCGCCCCCCCCCCCCGCAGCAGCATCATGTTTCGGGGACCCATAGGGAGCTCCACTGGAGGCCCCAGTGGCGGCCCGCACATGCGTTTCCGCAACCCATGTCGGCACGCCCCGCGCGTGTTTCATGTCCCCCTAGGGAGCTTCGCCGAATGCCCCAGTGGCACCCATCTCGGCACACCCCTCACACGTTCCGTAGTCATATGGGGAGTTCCATTGAAGATAAAACCCGCAGCTGCGGTACTGACAACTGCATATGGTTGGGTAGTTCGCCCGGCTAATTTTTGTCCGTGCCACT